ACGCATTGATATAGATTCAGGTGAAGGTGAAGATTGAAGATTGAAGATTAATGAAGATTGAAGAGACTAAATTAATTCTATAAACCAGTTGTTTTTTTAAAAATTCTACTTGTCAATCTCCACTAAGTTGGTGAAGCATCTCCTTCTTTTCCATCGTCAATGCTATCCACCTGAAACAGATTCTACCACACATTAAAGTTACTAAAATAAGTCCTCTGATTCACTAGAGATAAGATAATTGAATTTTCCGCTATAGTGGAAGACGTTTCCAAAGTGATTTTCATATAGACTCCAATGGCTGCGTGATGGGCCTGCCGCGACGCGAACCGCCCGCGCAGCCAGCTACGTAGATTTAGATGGCGCCAGAGGGGGAGAACATTGGGATCCGGCTGCACCACATCTAAGGGACAGGTAACCAATACCAGTTGCAGAACAGCTTTGCAAGGAGATCTTCGAAAGTAAGGCAATCGAAATTTTTGGAAACAGCGCAAGGAGGGGAAGTCTAATGAAGTACAACAAGGACCTTCTCGACTACCGTGTCCTGCTGACAATATCACTGAACAAAGACGGGACTCGCACATCTTCCCAACAGAAGATGGACTCGAGCACGACTTGATCTTGACCGCTCATCCTATGTCAAATCCCTTTATCCCTGGAAAACTGCCACCACTGTATTCTACTCGCTGAAATACGCGCCGCAATTCAGACCATGAAGGCAGCTACAGCTCCGGGAACGGACCACGTTTCGGCCGATCTTTTACGAGCTGGAGGACATCGCCTACGCGAGGTAATTGCGGAACATCTAACGTCTTACTTTCTATAATCTTTATTATTTGGTTTTAAGTTTTTGTAAGCACATTAGCATCTCAGCATGCTTGTTTGAAAATGGCATATTTTGCGCTTACCATACAAATTCTAGCCTTCAATTTGTAAGAGAAAAATTGTTGACTGAGCAAGTTCTGAACTTCTCATGGAAATCATTTCGAGCAATGAACTACTTGAAAAATAGGTCAAAAAGAGCTGAATAAGCAGCTAACGGAAACAACTACGGTTGGTGCACAGCAAAAACAGTTGCAATCAACTTTATATTGAAACATTTTTAACAACATAATCAATCATAT